GTATATCCATCTCTGTCCAACAAGATGCAAGTATAAAAAACTCTTCTATGCTTTGATTACACCAGTACTCTCGTAAGTGCAACTTTTTTGATGTAAAATTGATGTACTGTTCATTTTTTCACATCCATTTATTAGCGGTAGTTCTTGACGCGAACAGTATAACATACATCAATTATCCCTCTACACGAGAAGTAAGGTATCTTATCACTAGCCATAGCCCTCAATAAGCACATGATTTTGATGCCTCTTAATCATATGGATCACTGATAGATAAGCGCTAAACTATTTATTTTTCAGGCGAACTTTATTCCGGGACTACAAAGTACCTGAAATGATCGTTATCATCATACTTAACCTCTACAAAAGAATGAATTGCTATGTCTTGTGTAAAGGACAACTCATAGGATCGATTTGAATCAAAACCAGTATCAGAAACATTTTCTTACTCTTACCGTTCCCCTCGTTGAGTGTGAACCGTTTCGAGACGAGTCTCATACTGTCAGCCCTGCTACACCCAAACCTTTCTCAATATGTATAAAATATTTTCGCAATTAATTGATTTTTCTCTTGTGCTTTGGCATAAGACAGTGGTTCCATGAGTCTCCGTTGGGTCAATTGTAGTTTCTCCAGGCAATGGACGGCGGTAGTTTTATTGATAAGAAGGTCGTTTATCAGACTGTTATATTGTTAGATCGCTAGGCGAACGTGATTCCTGCTAGTGCAGTTTATCATACTACTGACAATTACCTAGCCTACAATCAACTCTCTTTGCCACCTCCAATTGAGAATATGAATAATTACTTGTGTTCTCACGAGCGGTGGATCCCTTACCAACTAAGAGAGCCTTTGTGTGACTTAGACAGGCAGTTAATCACAGCCCGGAAATCAGGTTCATTCACAGCTTAATAACTAATGCAAACAACTCTCACTTCTTGGGATGAGCAGCTTATGAATTGTGTATGCCCATCGCATAGTTATTTTGTCGAATCGTCTTGCTGAACGATGCTGCTTCCAAAGTTAATGGTTTATTTTGATTATTGATAGAGGCGTGAAATATTTACACAACAACATACTCAGACCAAGTATGTGATATCTTAGTTTTTATCTAGATTCTGCTGACTGGTTCATGCAAACAAGTTTAGTTCACTTTTGTTTATCGATTTGTCAGCTAGTTTTATTCTGTTGTTTCAACGGCCTTTTTATTCCAGTCTTACTGTAACTACCAGACGCCTATTCTGAACTTATTTTTGAGACGGTACAGGCTGGAAATTATTATTGGTATTCTGGATTTATTTCATTGAAATACAGTCAAGATGTGTTTTGTCTTCGGGGCAATATCTGAGTGGTATTACATCAATGTTATCACAAATTTAAGCCGGTTGATATCTGTTCGGTTCTAGTATTTGTCCATCATTATTTTTATTACCAACATTTTGATTTTGTTGATGGCTGTTCGGTTCAATTACAAAATGGTCAGGTTCATTACTGATGCACGTACCGGTTGAATTAGTTAATATCTGTGAATATTACTGCTTGATTTCTGAATAAATTCACCGATTGCAAATCAGTGGAAATAACGCTTACATAATATAAAGTCAGAAAGTGATGGTTATGTCACCTTAGGGATATTGGCTTACACAGTTGCATCTCCTAAACGTATATCAAATATGGGAGGACTTTCAAAGAGGTCAAGAAAAATATGAACTTGGAACGTAAAGTGATGGAATATTTTATATTCTCGAAAAAACTCAATGTTTATGGCTGTTAAAATTAACTATGAGCTTCATTGTTATCGATTACAGTTTTCTGTAGAAACTCAACCTCTTCCATTGCTCAATTAATTTTTGAAAACTACAAAGACAATTTTCAGGGCTTAGTTTGAGAAACCATAGCGGTTTTTTACTGGATGTTATTTCTGTCGACATTCAAGAAATAAGTGAAAAGTAACATGGAATAGGCACATATCGGTTACTGTGGTATTTGTGTCAGTCGACTTTCCCTCGTGTACGACTACTCTGCTGCTGATTGAAATTTCAAATGCACCATATTTGACCGTGTTACAGAGTTCTCTCCCACTTGAATACTGGGCCGTTTGTGACTACTAGAGCACTAGTTGGATATTTCTGGGTATTATTAATAAGCCTACCAAATAACATTACTTCTGATTACCATACTCGCTTTCCAAAAGAAATCAATTCCATTGTCGAGTGAATCTCTCAAGGAATTACTCTATATTTGAACCGCTATACAAAGCCGTGAAGTCAAATTTTGGAGGCCAGCTGGAAATCGAAACTCTTAATAGGTTGATTACTGAGGCTAAAATTCTGAACTTTGGCATAGATGTAATTCGGGAACCTAAAGTAATGACTACAAGACTGTAAACGAGCTTTATTTCCGATCGGGAAACACTACTGATTGTGAGGGCAGCGCAAGTTCGCATTCGGTTAATAATAGTTCCGATATTTGTGAAAATATGAGGAATGATTCAACTTGGAATTATAAAGTAGTTTACATTGACGAGCTCATGTTTGCTAAATATGTGCTTTGCGACAAATTTCATCCACGTTAAAGATTTGTCATTGTGCTTAATGACCCAGTTTGTTTGCAAAACAATTTCTCATTTCGACCTCTTCTTATTTAACCACTTTTGTCAGTTACCCCTCATGCAGGAGCCTAAGCCGCCTACAAACATTATTCATCCAACTCTTAACTCGACCCTCCATCCAAATTGCTATCCATTACTTTGATAACCTTCTTTAATTTCTTGCCCAATATGTCTTTGGTCTTACTTTCTTCCGTTAAGAATTGATGTGTGGGCGAGAAAGACAGTGATTTGTTATTTTGCTTAGTCAGACTTGTAGGTAGTCTGACAGGTGTGCGTAAGTTATCTATTCTCCTGTCCTTATCATTGTTAATTGATCGTCCATTTGTTGCAGTGTATCGGTTTGGTGTGGAAATATATTTACGTTGTAGTCAGGCTTATCACGTGTCTGTAATCTGAGTTGTGTTGAAGTCGTGTAGCGTAGACACTGAGAGGGAATCTAGTGTAGATATTCATCGAAGGTAAATTAAGGTCCCATTCGTGTATACTGAAAAAGCGGACCGTTATAACAAAACTGTTCATACTTTCAATACGTGCTGCTTGTGTTTGTAAACAAGTTAATAGACATCCATATCCTTTTTTCCAATGACCTTCTTTTGGCTACAAAAGTTCTATACAAGTCTACTTCGGTGGCTGAGAAGCCATACCAAACTCGTTGCATTCTACAAACGGGAAGGGGCTATTCTAGTGAACTTATCGTAAAACACCAATAAGTCATTATCCTAACTGTGCTGGTTACTTTCAATAGCCAATGTCTTCTGCGTATTGTGGGCAATACTTGAGACGTTTCTGTGTGCTTTTCTTTCGTGATAGTGTCTAATTATCAATTTTGTCACTAACTTTTGGACGTTTAAAAACAACCTGAAAATTCATTCGACATCCAACACAGAGTAATCCATTTGATATTTTCAGCCGTAATCCTTTCAGATCATTATGCTCAAATACTGCACAAATTTACTCGCAGTATAGAGTTTAGTTGGTTTAAATGAATTTTATGGTCGGTGTTTTTTCAGTATAGTTATCGTCCACTGGATGTGATTGCTAATCCCATGCCCGGCACTGTTCCTTTATTGGGGCTTGGCAAGGGGAGTGCCAGTAGAAGGGGTACAGGTGAGATTTGATCTCGCCGCTAGTTATGGAAAACTTTGTAATTCTGATCATAATAATGTGTTTTAAATGATCTGATATATTATTATTATCATCCTTGATTTCGAAACGTACCTTCGGCATTCAGAAGCAATTGTTAACGTCATTTGGTTTATTCGATCATTTTGTTGTTGATACAGACAGTATAGAGCCCATTATTTATTTACAAACCCAAGGTCTTTGGACTCCAACATTTCAGTATGACCTACTGAGGTTTCAGCATCAGAGATAACTGGACAATTTTAGTAGGAAGGTCTGTATAGTATTAAGGACTTGCAACTGTTCTAACTTTGCTGCAGAAGCAATCACCATCTGCATGAGTGGTCTGGGGTAAAAGATCCATTTATTACTCTCAGATACTATCGTCCTAATGATCTGAGGGAAAATTTCAGGACGTTGATAACTGAACTCGACACCATTGCTGTTACAATATTTGATGGACTGCGAAATAAAGTGGATACATTTCTTCTGCAAAATACGAGTCCTAAGCAGTCTGTGACAAAAGTGGATACATAATTCTTTTTTTAAAAAGATTCTCCATTAAAACAGTAGGTGCGTAGAGTCCGAAGAAGTTACGTATTCTTGTGGAAGTGATCATCGACCAGCAACGGGGACTGATGTGAAGAATGCTGGAAAATCTATGGTTCTAATTCTGGATACTAGTGATTTAGAAACATGTAACCGAAATGTTGACCAAATATCATCCCAAGAATCAAGTAAGTCTGTTCCAACTTCGATCGTTAGTTCTAATTCCAAGAAATACGTTCTAATGAACGTAGACTTTATACCCAATAAGAAGTCGGATAGACTCATGAAATTCCTAAAATTCTGCAATATAGTCTTCAGGAATACACACTCTTTGGCTAGTTTAGATACATCTGTGTAGAGTCTTCAGTTTTTTCAGGAGTGATGCATGACTACTTTGACTTTTATTCCGTTCGGAATTTTTCAGTCTTTAGGTAACCGGGTAACCACGCTATAGGACGTCTCATAGATCTGCGAAATCATACACGGACAAACATTTGAATTATTTTGGAAAAAGAGAAGTTATTCATTCGTGTCAGAGTAGTTACAGCTGGTCGAAATCTCAAGCTGAGAACCTATTCAAACTCCAATCTGGTGTATCAACCGTAGTCATGTAATAGAACCAAACAGTACATGACTTCATTTGGAATGTTTAAATATTGGTATCCATAACCATATTAATGCATAGAGCAAAGTACAGGAATGAGATAATCAGGTAGCAAATTATGATTTCTAGGTCATGGCGCGTGTTCCGCATTGGCGTGTTGACTGTCATCTGTGTTTGTTTATTTTGACGAGAATGTTATGACGTACTTATCAGAAGAGCAATTCTAGGACGATTTTATGTTATCACTGTAAGATAGTACAGATAGATTAGATTCAGAAATAGGGTCAAGGTCAGGAGTTAGAAAACACAACACTAGTGATATGTCAAGTTAGGGATAAGGATGAATGATTAGGCGGTTTGTTGCTTAACTCTGTTGAAAAATTAGTCTGTCTGAAAGTTATGTGTACTTGCATTATGCGTGTGATAGTTCTACTTGGTGAAGACTCATCAATTGCGATTGCTTTTGGCAGACAACATCGTACACATAAGCCGTCATAATTGACCTCTTGGTCTCATACGATAATTAGTTACAACTTGTCAGTTGAATTAATATCTGATGATCAGTAATGACTTGATATTGTTCATCTATCTGGTTGGTCATTTTATAGTACTTACCACTCATTCAGAACTAGGTGTCGTCCCTCAAAATCTGTCTGAATGGCACAGGTTCATTTACTTTTCCCTTTATTTAGATCCTGAGTTGTTAAAATATTTAAAACTTCTCATTATTCTACGAGTTGATATTTTCTCGAGCCATATCCTCTTCGTCTGATGCTTTTTTTAATTATTGCTATTACTGTTGCTTTTCTACCGTCTTGGTATTTGTCGTGATAGATTCTCTTTCCGCTTATATGGTGTGGCAGCCTAGATCAATGCTGATACACGCCAGCTCCAACATTACTCATAACTGTCTGACTTATGCTTGACTTTAAGCACTTTATTGGTCAATGTTTAGACCCGAAATCAAATGATAGTTAAGTTATTCTGTCATTTTGTGTATGTTGACAATTTGATGTCTATTAAAATAAAAGAGCAGGCGATACTTTAAGTTCATCTCGTTTTCTATTTTTAAAACTGATTGGTCGTATTTAGTATGTTTGTTTCCTGCTCGGTCTTTTCTTCGTTACTTTTCTTCAGTCGTACCTCCATCGGGTTAAATATTTGAACTTCTAGTTATGCATTTTTGTGTCAGATTCTACATTTCACCCTTTTTGCCTTTATATAATTTCGTTTCCACATCCTCATATTTGAATTTTAAAAGTTATTTATCTTTCTACTTGTCAGTTCTAAAGGTTACCGGTAAACACAGGAGTATTCGGTGTTTTTTTATATCAAACTGCAGGGTTAATATCATCTATGGCTAGTAAAAAATGCATGCCCTTAATAACTAACTACAAATCAGATGATTCTTCGTTGGATGGTGATGCTGACTGTGATGATATCTTTAATAGTCTCACAGAGAATAGTCCAAATAATGCTAGTGATGAAGACGACCAACCATTGGTTAGTTTACAACATAATCATTTCCCCTTGCTTTATTCTTTATTTGTATAGTATTTTGTTGGTCGACTATAATCAACATTTTTTCTATCATCGCCTTTAACGCTCACTAAGATCTTAGGAATTTTACATGAGTCTAAATATGTTTGATGGTTAAATGCATATCTGAAATTTATCTTTGTGCCTACGTCAAAACTTTGGATGTGAAGACTACTTTGTAGAAGTGGTTGGGTTTCCAGATATACCATGAAGTTTATATAACTTGGTAAAATATGCTACTGGAAACAGTTTTTTTCACCACCAACTAATGGTTTTGAATTAAGAAAAGTTTCTTTGAAGCTAACCGACTCACCATGATCAGCTGTCGATGTTCTTCAGGTTTATATTGAATACTTCTAACTATCAAGTTTCAAACTCGAAAACTACACAGTCGTAAGGTGTTCCTCTCACACACCCAGGATCGAAAACATTGCTTTCATCTCACTACAAAATGAGTTCTTAAAGGTCAGTTTCAAGGATACGACCATCGATTTCGAAAGGATATTTACGTACGTCTGTTACCCCTCATGGAGGAGCATAGGTCGCTTAGCAGCATTCTCCATCCAACTCTGTCCTAAGCAATCGTTTCCAGTCGCTATTCATCCTTTTGATGTCTGCTTCTAATTCTCGGTGCAATATGTCTTTGGTCTTTCTTCCATTTCCCTTCAGGACTTCATGTTGAGGTTTGCCTCGAGCTCTGGTTTGATGATTTCCTCAATGTACATCTTATCCAACTCTATAATTTTTTCCCAATCTCCACAGCTGGAAACTGGTTTGTTCTCCCCCATAGTAGGCTGTTGCTGATGGTATCTGGCCAACGGAGTATCTTTTGTAGACAATTGTTTATGATTACTTGTACCTTTTTGATGATGGTTGTGGTAGTTCTCCAAGTTTCAGCTCCATACAGTAGGACCGTCTTGACATTCGTGTTCAAATTTCTAACTTTGATATTGGTTTACAGTTGTTTTGAGTTCCATATGTTTTTCAACTGTAGGAATGCTGTCCTTGTTTCTCCAATCCTCACCCTTACATCTGCATCAGATCATCTACGCCCATCGGTGATGCTGCTCAGATACGTGAAAGTCTCGACGTCTCACAGAGTTCCTCCATCAAGTTTTATTGGATCGTTCTTTGTGTTATATTTAAGGATCTGGTGGTGATGGAATTGACTCAAATGTTATCGAAATATGTGCTCAACATGTCTGGATGAACGCTTTCTTCACCCAGATATGTAAGGATAAGGCATGCTAAGAAACAAGTTTCTGGCTGTAATGACGTGTAAACTTAAACTTAATCTAGTCTTAGAGTGTTTATTAGAACTCGTTTTTAATAAAAATTTAATCATTGTACAAATTATTGGCTTTCTAGAACTTCTTCCTAAACTAAAATCAAATGAGATTTGCGTGGCGCATATATCTGGTGCTCCTTTGTACCAATATTTATGTGTTTAAATAAATAAATAAATAAACATGTTACATGCGTCAAACCGAGCAGCAGAATCTCGCGTCATATAGTATCTCCAAAAATCTCACTCAGAATCCAAGTGTAATCATTCATCTGAATTTAGCGTGAAGAGTCAGGGAGATTAAGTCTTTTTAAATCTGTCGTTCCTGACTTTCCCTTTTTGTAGTATCGGTAGTGTTAGTATAGGATTAAGTTCGAAGGCCGAATGGAATCTCCCATACTGTATTTTTGTAGGTTTCCAGTTGTGCATTGTTCGATTACACAATAATAAGGACTTGAAATAACAGGGTCATAAGTTAATGTCACTTTAATCGTCCGTCTACGCCTCCACTGACTGCAGTTCAAATAAAGATGAGTTCTAAAGAAAGCTTTTTAACCCGCAAAAAGCTGAAATCTTAGACAATGTAATTCTAGTAGGTATGGTGAACCAAACTGAAATGATTCTTTTAGTATCACTGCTCAGAGATTAGATGACGGCAACCGTCTTCTGTAACTACGGACAGAACCGTATCTTCTTAGCAGTCACTAACTTCAAAAGCAAAGAGAGACATCATTTGACTTGATGACGTCCGTAATCTCCTCAACGGTAAATGCAAATTAATTATAATTCTTGGTAAAATAATACGATCATTCAAATCTTGTTTTTTATGTTTGAGTTTCCGGGAGAATAGCAATAATTACTGAAATTCAGATGCATCTGGTTTCTTGTGTATATTCTGAATAAGACTGTGCCTATTTTGGGTTCTACCAACTCTCAATGTGAAGATACTTCTCCAAGTCCTCGTAATGGGCGTCTTCTGTTTTTATTTTTTAAAACTCAAATTTGTATTGAGTGATTTATCTCACCTTTTGTTTATTACTTTAGTCTAATTTCCGTCATCTTCACTCATCACAAAATGATTTTCTAAAAAGCTTGACTGTTATACAACCGTCTGCAAATGATTCCTCTATCGGTTCATTTAAACAACAACTCAACTCTCCTGAAGACTCGATATTACCAAATATATCTGATTCAGAAGATTCTGATTCTTTCTCATCCAGTACTGATGAGGAGTTCAAGAAATTGGTGGATACTTGTTCTTCATTACCTGTAACTGAAGTAAGATATATATCGGGGGTTTTTATGCAGTTAAACAAATCACTGTTTTTTACGCATGGTCACTGTCAATCAATCCTGTGATTTTTTTTCCTTTTTCTGTCTAATTGTAATGACGTTTACATGTACCCCTATGTGTAAGATATGCCGAATTCTTATTACAAGACAATCACATACGTCTCCTTAAAATTCCCGTAGTTTTATATCTTAGATATGTATTTATATGTTAGGTGTTTCGTTTAAACACTGACTATCACATTTTCCTCTGAGGTCCATTTATATGAGATAAATCTTTGTGGTGTCTAAAACCCACTTAAGGAACCAAATAACGGTACAGATATTATACATGAGTATATTTACAATAGCCTTAGAAACACAGTAACAAGTTCAAAACAACAGGATTAAGCGAAATATTATATATATATATATATATATATTGAAAGTACAGTGCTCGCATTTGGATGATGCTTCATAAAACTAGAGAGTATTTTTTCCTTCATTTAGATCGAATTCAGTAATTAGGAACGTATGATATGGAAAAAGTATATGGGATCAAGTCACCAGACGACATCAGCTCAACGAGATAAAGTTAACAAGATAAACAGTGAGATATTAAGCGGATTAGTATCGATAATAGTAAAGGAGATTCAAAATAGACAATATGGCAACACCGTCAATCGATCCACCATATTCTACTTGTACCCTACGTTTAACTTTGACATTGGTCACTCAGTAGTTCCAACAAAACCGGGCAATGCTTCGAAGTCGCCTATCACCAAATACTTACTTACGCCTGTTACTCCCAATGGACCATAGGCCGTTGACCAGTATTCTCCAACCCACTCTGTCCTGGGCCTTCCTTTCTAGTTCTATCCAGTTTTTGTTAATTCTTCTCATGTCTGTTTCCATTTCTCGGCGAAATGTGTTCTTTGGTCTTCCTCTTTTTCTTTGGCCTTCAGAATTCCATGTAAGGGCTTGTCTTGTGACACAGTTGGCTGATTTCCTCAATGTGTGTCCTATCCACTTCCAGAATTTCTTCCTGATTTCTTCCTCCACAGGAATCTGGTTTGTTGTCTCCCATAGTAGAATGTTGCTGTTAGTGTCCGGTCAACGGATGCGAAGTATTTTGCGTAGACGACTGTTAATAAACACTTGTATCTTCTGGATGACGGCTTTCGTAGTTCTCCAAGTTTCCGCTCCATACAGGAGAACTGTCTTGACATTTGTATTGAAAATTCTGACTTTGGTGTTGGTTGACAGTTGTTTTGAGTTCCATATGTTCTTCAGTTGTAGATATGTTGCTCTTGCTTTGCCGATTCACACTTTCACATCTGCATCAGATCCACCGTGTTCATCAATGATGCTGCCCAGATATGTAAAGGTCTTCACATCCTCCAAAACTTCTCCGTCAAGGGTGATTTGATTTATGCATGTTGTGTTGCATTGGAGAGTCTTGCTTTTCCCTTTGTGTATGTTGAGACATACTGCTGGTTAGGCTGCTGCTACACTGATCGTCTTCTCCTGAATTTGTTGTTGCGTGTGCGATAAAAGAGCCAGATCATCTGCGAAGTCCAGGTCATCCAGCTGCATCCTAGCTGTCCATTGTATCCCGTGCTTCCCCCCAGATGTTGACGTCTTCATAATCCAGTCGATCACCAGGAGAAAGAGTGAGAGTAAGCAACCTTGCCTAACACCGGTCTTCACCTCGAATGAGTCGGTGAGTTGTTCTCCATGAACGATTTGGCAGTTTAATCCATCATAGGAATCCCACATGATATTGACTATTTTCCCAGGCACGCCGTAGTGTCGAAGAAGCCTCCAACATTGATTGGGAGGTCCTTAGGTGCTGCTTCGATGTTGGGTGGGTTCAATGGGGCTGGTCGATTTAAGATTTCCTTAAAGTGCTATACCCACCTGTTTCGCTGTTCTTCAGTGTTGGTGACTACTTTGCCTTCCTTGCTTTTCACTGATTGTTCTGATTTACGATAATTTCCAGCGAGCTTCTTTGTTGTATCAATATATATGTGTTTAAATAAATAAATAATGTATCATACAATCGTCTCATGTTTCCTTCTCTTACAGCCTTTTCCGCCATCGTTGCTAGATCTCCCACATATTTACGTTTGTCGGCTCAGATGCTCCTCTTCACTTGCTTGTTTGCTTCTGTGTACTCAGCTTGTGCCTTGGCTTTCTCTGTTCTTGTTCGGCTGATATTGATTGCTGCCTTCTTGTTCCTTCTTTCTTAAATCTTATCCAGTATATCAACAATGATTCATTCCTTGTGATGGTGCTTCTTGTGGCCCAGAACCTCCTGATGTGTTGAAGTGATTGCCTCCTTGATCCCTTTCTAGTTGTTCTCCATGGTCGTTCCCTTTCTAGTGAGTAGATCATGAAAGGTCTGGAACTTATTGTTGGAGGCTATCTTGAATTTGTTGAGTTTATCAGTATCCTGAAGAAAAGCCGTATTAAACTTATGTGATTTTGTCCGCCTCAATGTCCAGAGCTTTTTTAGTTTCAATTTCATCTTGGCAACCAGCAAGTGATGACATGATGCTATATCAACTCCTCTTCTGATTCTCACATCCTCCACCGTCCTCTTGAACTTTGTATTGATGCCGGTATGATCAATTTGGTTCTGTGTAGTGTGATCCGGTGAAGTCCATGTGGCTTTGTGTATGCGTTTATGTGGGAATATGGTACCACCTAAGAACAGTTTGTTAAAGGCACATAGGTTTGCAAATCTCTCACCATTTTCGTTCCTTTCTCCTAGTCTATGTCGTCACATGATGTCTTCATATCCGGTGTTGTCCATTCCAACTTTGGCACTTAGGTCTTTCGTCAGAATGTTCAAGTCCTTTGTTTGGCGTTTCTTGACTATTGACTGCAACCTATCGTGGAATCGATCTTTAACGTCTTCATTGTAGTCGTTTTCAAGGGCATAGCATTGGGTGAAGTTCATTGTAATGCCCCTTTTCTTTGTTTTGAAGTAGGCTTTGACAATCATGAGTCCATGATATTCCCATCCTATAAATACTTTTTTGTGCTTGTTTGGATAGCATTAGTGCAACGCCTTGCGTATATGGAGCATTTTATTCTTTATGGCCGGAGTATAACGGTAGCTCCCCTGAAGCTAGTGGTTGTTGTCCAACCTGCTTCCAATGTGTTTCACTGACTCTAAGCACTTCCAGGTTGTATTTTTTCATTTCTGCAGCGATTTGGATGGCTTTCCCGGTCTCCTACATTGTACGAACACTCCATGTACCTAAATTAATGGTTGCTCTGGTTGTCAGAAGGGGCATCAGCCTCGTGACTTCCGAAGGAACTAAGCTTTCACTATGAGGCGTCCTAACTCTTCTAAATAAAGACCTAACTCCCACGATGGAGTTTAAATAGTTTGAATTATTTTTTTTATAGTTTACGCCCTTTTAGCGAGTCAGTTTTCTACAGGATAGGGTCGCTAACCCCGTGCCCAGCTCTCCTCTTTTACCTGGGCTTGGGACCGGTAGTAACCCCAGAGGGGCTCCAAGCGTTGATCAAATACTAATAATCTACAGATGTCCTCAACCTTTGAAACTCACGTTTCACAGCGATAAATAATAAGTGTACTGCTGCACAGTATTCTCACCTTTTGGTTGGCCAACGAACACCTCCCCAACATCACTTGTGACACAAGTTGGGAAAAGCCAAACAAGCTTTCCAAGCTCGCACCAATGTTTCCGTTACTTTTGACTGAAATCAGTATTATTGTGATCTTTCACACCTCAGGATTGTTGTGACCACTGCAATATAGCAATGCCTCGCAGATCTTACTTTGCTTTGTACTGCACGATACTATGTATAAATTGTTTCGTTTATACAGCTAATTTTATTCTTTTGAAGTAATAAAAGTTTCAATAATATTATCAACAACATTACATCCATTCGTAAATATCACATTTGACATTCGATTTCGTCACTGTTTACTTCTACTTAGTGCAGAACCATTTAGAAACGACCACCAAGTAAAGTTGATCAGATCCGATGACTTGTTTTATTTTTAAATTTTTTTTGTATTTTGCAGCTCCTTAGATCCAAACAATTTACACTTATGTATAGTGATAAAAACTGTCAAAAAGGCAAATCAGATAGAATAATGTAAGTCTTTTATCTGAGAATACGCTTTAATTTCACTTGTTGAGTAATCTTGCTATTTGCGGAGTTGTGGAATTTTAATCCATTTAATCTAGATCAAGTACTTGTCTATGTACTTGATTTTAGGCCAAACTACTCAAGAGCTAATGATCCTCAGACTGAAATAGTTTGGATAAGGTTCTAACTTTTTACCTATCAGTTAAAAGCTAGGCATTTTTGACCATTAATTTATTTGTTCTATTTATCATAGACCGGATTCTATTTTTCAGATTACAATTGATTGTTCACTGGGTGGTGATCAATGTCATGCGTGTCAAGTCCTTCTTAATGCTGATCGAATGCTATCGATTAAGTTGCAATGTGGCCACTAGCCTAGGTAGCTCGACACTGCTTGCACTATATATATTGAGATAAGATGGTGGTTGGAGGTGGTCAACAGGAAACTCTGGCCCCGGGTTTCGTGCTACTTGGCACTCATCAGCAAGGTGTACCTAAAATCTTGAGGGAACTGGTGCTCCCTGACGAATTCGATCCCGTGTCACTCAGCTTCACAGTCAGAGACGTTACCCCTGAGCTATTCGGGTCGCGACCGACCTCCTGTAGGACTGAGATGTGTATTTGGCCTCTCTTCATCACCAGCATTTCAACCTTACAGTTACAATGAACTAATTAAAAAGAATCATGACTACACATACTTTATCGAGTCAGTATGCAGATATCGATCAAAAAAAGGGATAGCACTGATATCGATTAATCAAAACTAACAGAACTAAATAGACTTGTAAAAATTGTTACTTTCCGGATAATGATGTGATGAGCTATTAATAAGAGACGAGATGGATCGTAAAAGGTAAGAAGAGTAAGAAAACATGAATTTCCCATGAACTGGTAATGCACTATGTGCATTATATATGGGCTTGATTAAGAAATTAGACAGAAAATTCTATTTGTAAAAATCAAAATGATTAGAATTAACAATAGCTTGAACGTTTCACTCGGCGATCCGATGTAGGTCTCTTTATGGAACTATTCAAATGTCAAAATTATTGGTTACAAATAGTGGTTATGAAATAACTATGTGCTGAACAACAATCCAATTATGCCGTATGAAATACTATAAATACCCTCTGTTTTCTGTACATAAACTAACTTGGAAGTAAAGCGTTTGTTTTTTCACATTTCGCGGATTTTCTATCGTGTTCACTCACTGTCAAATCAATTAAGACCAGGCTATCAAATCTTTGGACATCGTATCCTTTGGTTACATTCTTTATTTTTCAAGAAGTTCGACAGATTACTCATTTCTAATTGTACTTATACTATATGTCTAAATTAAGATTGATTGTTTAGGACAACTTAGTTGCCTGCCAACATTTCCCCTGTTAATATGTCAATCAGTATATGTCAATCCATGCATATGTACACATTATCATTCTCTCATCATCCATCTTTTTCATGTTGTCAATTATATACAAATTTTTATCATAGAAACATAGGCTATTCACAATTTTTTCAAGAAATTCAATCTTCTATAAAATATGAACAACCTAACGCAAGTTTTCACGATATATGTCAATTAGTTGATAAGCGATGGAATCAATTATCAAAAGTAGAGAAAAAAGTAAGTTATGCAGTGCATAAGAAAATGTTTATCTCATAATTCGTTTGTTGTTCTTTCCTTTTTTTATGGCTACTTTTTCGGCTTCTCATTATTTCAAAGGTGAACATCGTTATTTAGAAATCAGTGAGTGATGAAATCGATGCACATATAATGAAAGCCTGAGCGGTTTATGCCAATCTGGGCCATCTTTAGCGCCTTCGTGATGTTGGTCTGGCTGTAAAGGATCGGACCCACAACGCGACGGTGAGAGCAGTTTTGCTCTATGCTTGCGAAACCAGGCTTCTCCGAGTTGAGGATGTTAGACGACTCTCTGTTTTCGATCATCGTTGTCTCCGAAGGATTGGTGACATCCAGTGGCAACATGATCTTAGTAATGCAGAGGTTCGACATCGTGTGTCCGGGTGTAGAGACGATAATTCAATTAGTGTCATTATTTTGAAACACCGACTTCTGTGGCTTGGACATGTTCTACGAATGTCGTCCCAGAGAATTCTTTGTCGTGAATTATTTGCCGACTCTGGGACTGGTTGGAAAAAGCGGAGAGGTGGTCAGTGTATGATATGGTGTCGTGGTATGAAAGAAAGCTTCCAAGGGCTGGCTTCTGTTGGTCTTTCACGACTCCCTGGCTGGTGTCCTAGAGATGGTGCAATACAGTGGTTAGAGACGTTATCAGATATGGCTCAGAATAGAAGCCAATGGCGAGCCTGCTGTACCCTTCTTTTACTTTCTTCATAAAGAGTGGTTATAACTTTGTTAACTGAAAGAGTTCTTCTGGTTGTACGTTTCTGTTCCCTCCATTATTACTCTTATTATTACACCAACGTACACTAATTTGTAGTTGTTATTGTTCCTTTCTTTTTTTCTTATATACACCTCACCCCTTTTTCTCTTCCCATTCTCATTGTTTTGTGTGGCGCATATATATCTGGTGCCCCCTTGTACCAATATTTGTGTTTAAATGAAAAGTGAATAGGGATTTCCAACTCTCCTAGATGGATGCGCCGTATCCACCAACCGCGTTAAAGAGCCGGATATTCATTTTTCGTCCTCTCAATTCCGTAAACATCACCCCCGCTACGATAAGGTAGTGAGTCGTAGGACTTCACTGTTAGAGGCTATATACGCGTGGCCATTTGAGAGCATTTCGAGAGGGAGTGCCGACTCTACCCATTCTCGGTCGTATCAGACCATTTTGGGTTTTTTAAAGCCGGCGACACCCGGTATTCCCCACCGGTCACCCATGCAAGTACTGACCGGGCCCAACGTTGCGTAACTGCGGTGATTGGACGAGAACCGGTGCTTTCAACGCAGTATGATCACCGGCGTAGCGTAGCGAAAAGCATAATAGTCGAATAGTAGAGTATATATATACGTATGTACCTACGTACACATGCTTAGATATCTACATTAATATGGATCATTTATTGGCTTTCTCTCAGAAATTAAAGAGTTACTCAACTGCTAATTTATTTAATGATAGAAATATATTGTTTTATTTGTTCAATCATTTCAGGAATACAAAAGACATTCTATAGTATCGATGGAGTCACAAAAGATGACCTCTTTATCAAAATGCAGATCAAAACTACTCAATTTAGTAAGTCATTTATGTTTTTAATATCTATGTATATATTACATATTATCTATTCTAGTGTCTTTAAAATAAATGTATTTTATATTATGGATGTCGGTAATTTAAACAGTTTTCTTCCACAGATTTATGTTTATTAGAACCAATAATATTACTAAATGGATATCACCCCCAAATGCCCTGGTACGTCTGAGAGTGGGGAGAGTCCACTCTCCCTCTCCAAATGCTCTCACATGGCCACGCGAATATATAGCCCCTGCCAGGGAAGTCCTACTCACTGCCTTCTCGTCCCATTACTGTTGTTTACAAAATCGAGAGGACGAAAAGCGAATGTCCGGCGCTTTAACAGGGTTGGTGGACACGAAAAGTCCACCTAGGGGAGTTGGAAAACCCTGATTCCAAACCAATGGTGAACATGGGCTCCAATATCCTGAGGGAACAAATGGCTTATGAATCAATCGTTTGTCACCGGCTACCATAGGACTGCATCTCCTGACGTTGCTCCAATGCCTTGTGGATCAGATCTTTAGGTCAAAGGCTCCGGGTGTGGCCCTTTAAGAAGACCACCTGTTCCAGTTTGGGCACCTGAGCAGTATCACAGCCCTCACACAAATCAAATGAGATTTGTGAGGCGCATATATATCTGGTGCCCCTTTTTGCCAACATTTATGTATTTAAATAATAATAATAAATAGATATCCTGCCCTGTTATTTTCCAACAATGCAAATATTTCCGTAAATTTTCCCGTTTTAGGTTTGTTTCAACTAAATAATTACTAATACTAACCGTATATACACAGTTTTTTACAAAGAGCTAAACACTCGAAAATTCGATTGTCGTTTGGTAGATGATGGTGAGTGCCTTCTGCAGCTCTGTGCAGACCACAATCTATATTTATTCATGATCAACCTCAGTCAAAGTTTTCACTGACGGATTACTTGGGATCCACCTTCTGCATCTCAAACCCTGACCTAGATTTATCACATTACGATCAGCTACTATAAGCGTGGGTGTGTACAAAACTACTACTTCTTTCATTGTACCTATTTGGATTCTGAACATCCTGTATCTTGCGTTTTAGTGCCTAAAAAACTTATCGTCTTTAACGAATTTATGTGTGCAAATGGGCTCTACCGTCATTTGGAACCAAGTATCAAATCGACTTAGTTTTAGGGTTAGTTATCAGTCCACCGAAAAGTATAGGCGACCATCGGCTGGGTTTGCATGACGCCATACAAATGACGAATAAAATCTCTTAAAGCTCCGCGAGACGTCTTTCTCTTGGGTATCGGGTCCCTTGCAGGCTCTCTAAAGCTTCTTCAGGGACCTCATTCTTCGGCGACTAGCGATTTGGTGGTACTCGTAAATTCTTACGTTAGAAAACTTCACAAAGCTTGCTTAAGGACAGATTTAAGGGTGATTGAGTTATAACTAATTGCAAGGAGTAGTTGCATCTGGTAACTGTGGGAGACTGTTTCAACCTAACGGAGATACTAGAAGCAACAATCTGCTCCTTGGCCTCTTTAATAACGTGGAGAAATTCTAATCAGGGAACCAAGAGTGTTCCGTTATCTTGAATTAAATTGATCGTGTATTCCACTTTTTGAAATGGCCTACTTAAGTAGTGTGATAATTATCAGGGTAAAATTTTTCTGTCCAAACTATTATATTTTGTCATACTCGTCAGATTGTACAAAACCCTTGACTGGCTCGTGAGAAGCAGACCAAGTATCGATAACAATTCAATCGGTGTCACCATCTTGATATACTAACTTCGGTGACTTGATCATGTTTTATGAATTTTATCTGAGACACCATCCTTTACCGAATGAAGTATTTCTCGGTTATATTTTTAACTGAAATGTATCTTCGAACGGACATTCTTTTTCGCTACTGTTTCGATTATATTATCCTTTTCTTTCTTATTTCTTCATAACATCCCTTCATTTGTATACATATATGTGCTTGGTCCTACGTTGTCGCTGACTGACTGACTGGAATACATTCATTCATTGTATAGTAGATCAACAGATTGGTTGTAGCAAGTGAAATGTTAAAATCTTTCACGATTGAAGCTGTTAGATACCGACCGTTGAAAAACCATTTATAAAATACACTTTTGGGTATTAATAATTGAAATGTTAATTAATTGATTAACTTAAACATAAATATTGTTACAAAGGGACACCAAATACATATGCGCCGCACAAGTCACTTGATCTATGTGTGGTCTGTGATGCTGCTTGTGTGCTCAGACCGAAGCAGGTGGTTTCCTTAGGGGACCACACTCGGAGCTTTCGATCTAAAGGTGTGATCTACAAGGCAGTGGAGCAACGTCAGGAGATGCGGTCCCATGGTAGACTGTGACCAACGATTGGTTCATACTCCATTTGTTCCTTCAGAATTCTCAATCCCATGTGCACCATTGGTTTGGAATCAGGGTTTTCCAACTCCCCTAGGTGGACTTTTCGTGTCCACCAACCCTGTTAAAGCGCCGGACATTCGCTTTTCGTCCTCTCGATTTTGTAAACAACAGTAATGGGACGAGAAGGCAGTGAGTAGGACTTCCCCGGCAGGGGCTATATATTCGCGTGGCCATGTGAGAGCATTTTGAAAGGGATAGCAGATTCCCCATCCTCGGTCGTATCAGGGCATTTAGGCGAAGTCTATTGTAATATTGCTTAATTTATTTATTTATTTATTTATTTATTTAAACACATAAAAATTGGTACAATGAAGCACCAGATAAATATGCGCCTCACAAATCTCATTCGATTTGTGTGAGGGCTGTGATACTGCCCAGGTGCCCAGACTGAAGCAGGTGGTTTTCTTAGGGGGCCACACCCGGAGCCTTTGACCTGACTGTCTGATCCACAAGGCAGTGGAGCATCGTGAGGAGGTGCAGTCCTATGGTAGCCGGTGACAAACGATTGATTCATAAGCCATTTGTTCCCTCAGGATACTGGAGCCAGCCCATGTGCACCATTGGTTCGGAATGAGGGTATTCCGATTCCCCGTGTCCATTGACATGGTTAAAGCGCCGGACATTCGCTTTTCGTCCTCTCACTTTCGTAAACAACACCCCCGCCACGAGATGGCAGTGAGTAGGACTTCCCTGGCAGAGGCTATATATTCGCTGGCCATATGAGAGTATTTCGAGAGGGAGAGGTGACTCTCCCCACTCACGGCCGTACCAGGGCATTTGGGGGCATTGCATAATTGATGGGGAGAGAATTCCTTACTGTAAAAAAAATTATGCTAATGAATAATCAAATATGTATTATTGTCAGTATAGGGTTGTGAAGACGGTTGAGTTTTAATTGAGGTCATGAATGGATCAATGTTAGACCACTATTGGAAACCTCTAAGCACTGAACGGTCGTTTTGTTCTAGTATGGGACTCGTACCTGCTTCAGTTCGGTCACCTGGGCATTATCACATCCCTCACACAAATCAAATGAAATTTGTGCGACGCATATATATCTGGTGCCCCTTGTACCAATATTTATGTGTTTAAATAAATAAATAAGTAAATGGAACTCGTGAGCAGTGCTCATCCACAATCTTGTATACGGGACTAGAAACGGGAACATGGGTAATAACTAATATTAACATATCTTGTGACACTGGCTTATGCGAATATAATTAAAACATCAGTCAATTGGTTAATCTTCTAAATTTTTAATTAACCTTAAAGTTTCGTGCATGTCATTGTGGTTTTTTTTGAAAACAGCTTACTAATCTCTTTTCGTTACTGTTTGACTGTTCTATGTATAGAAAACACGTTCTATCACAAATGAAGATATTATCATCAATTGGAAAGTTACTTAAAAGTCATTGGTTTATAGAATTAACGAATAATTATTACCAGTTTCAATTAAGTTATAATGATCTCTCTCTTTTTCTCTGAGAAATGGTTCTACTAACCATCACTTGACACATTTCTGTTAGTAGTACTGTTTTCGTTTGAAATTTTGTACTTTCAGTTTAAGAGTATATCTCCTTCCTTCTTTATTTTTAAAAAAAAAAAATCTCATTTAGTTAAGCGAAGACAATAAACAATGCTGTAATCCAACATGTAATAATCCAGTTTCTTATGATCCTCGTTGGAATGGTCAGTATTGTTCAACTAAATGTGTTGGAGAACATTGTCAATTAACCTTTATTGATTGGTGTAATAATAAACGATATGATGGAAAGGTAAATGTATTATCTAAACTACCAATTGTTGTACCTTGATTAACTCATTTTTTTCCTAAATACATATGTATTATCTTGTTAATTTGTGTGATACATTATTCTCAGTCAGTCTAGTGTTTAAGTGTAACTCCATTGCTAAATATTGATTGAACTTGTAGCTTGTGATTTAAACGAATAAATGCTTTGCACTTATACAGTAACTGTCCAAAATTAATCCATCCCACTTCTTAGAGCTGATAAGAGTTTCAATTTAGTTTAAACTCAGTTTCTTTCTTTATCCAATCATCCCACTCTGAAGTTCCGTGAGTGACTCTAATTTTACTAGTCATCTTTGTTTTAATCATGTTATTCTGTCATATATGGTATTACAGAAGCAGTACAGTTCATATTCATTTTGATTCTTATTTCTTATACTCATACATCTTTCCATATATATATGATAAGACAAGTCTTCTTCTTGGAAGTGTATACATTTAGATTTGTCGTAGAAAACTCCAAGCATAATATCATTTCTTCAAGTTTCTAACTGATTGGTCTGAGTCGTATATGCAGTTAGGTAGATAAAAACTACCTATTTTAACTTCATAAAATCCTTAACGATATTTTACGATCCCAACCAGGGAATCGTAAAGGACCAACAGAAGCCAGTCCTGTACAGCTTTTTTTCATAACACGGCACCATGTCATACACTGATCACCTCTCCGCTTTTTCCAACCAGTCCCAGCGTCGGCGAATAATGCACGATGAGGAATTCTCTGGGACGACATTCGTAGAACATGTCCAAGCCACAGAAGTCGGTGTTTCAAGATGGTGACACTGATTGAATCATCGTCTCTACACCCGAACACACGATGCTGAACCTCTGCATTACTAACATCATGTTGCCACTGAATGTCACCAATCCTTCGGAGACAACGATGATCGAAAACAGAGAGTCGTCTAACATCCTCAACTCGGAGAAGCCTGGTTTCGCAAGCATAGAGCAAAACTGCTCTCACCGTCGCGTTGTGGGTCCGATCCTTTACAGCCAGACTAACATCACGAAGGCGCCAAAGATGGCCCAGATTGGCATAAACCGCTCAGGCTTTCATTATATGTGCATCGATCTCATCACTCACGCTACCACCAGCACTTATGCAGTTACCTAGATACATGAACTTGTCAACTACTTCAATCTTCTCACCACCTAAGTGAGTACAGGATTAGGGTTCTGCTAGTCTTGTAAAAAAGCTTTAGACATCGACGGGGCAAAGCATATACCATACTTACGGACACTGATTGCCAACTGACTATGTGCGGATTGCATGGTTTGGGTATTATCGAACAATAAGACAATATCATACACATACTTGATGTGCTTGATGCTATTAAGAGTTCATTTTACTCGTTAAACGAAACGAAGGTGAAAGACACAGTGACACGATAGGCTATTCTAATCCGTTGTCCCAGGCCCTGCTAACTATATCAAGAAGTACTGATGAGGCTTAGGGAATGTATTCTACAAGCATCCAGAAATACGAAGTCACTAAGCACACAAATTAAGCTTATTCATACAATGATAGAAACGCCCTTAGGATAGCCAAAAAATAACTTACTAAAAAACCGTCAACCAATGACAGTCAAGGATTTCCAAGTGGGAAATGCAAGGTGTAGGTCAACTAAGCGTCTCTTGGCGCGAAGACACAAAATCCAAATTTTCAAAATAAAATTACGAAATTAGGACCTTTTCCAAGTGAGTTCTGGGAATCTAATGTCCTCAACAAAACTCAAGGTCGAGAAGTATTTCTCCAGGCAACAGATCCACACCGCTATTACGTACATCCATCAGAGCTGTTCCCAGAATGTCATCGATGGCAAAGTTGAAGAGGAATGGTGAGATTGGGCAACCCCGTCTAACTCCACTTCTTGAATGGAACAATGGAGAGAGGCATTTGTATGCCTTCACTCTGCCTGAGGTGTTTGTATACATGGCTTTTAGAATGTTAATAAACTTCTCAGGCACAGCCTTCTTCATTAGACAATCCCAGAGAGCAGTCCTGTCCAATGAATCGATACAGCCCTGATATCAGGAAACACTACAATTGTTGGCCTATGATAAGTATGATATTTTGTGGAGGATGAAGATATGATAAATACATTCTTGACTAGAACGCAAACCAGCATGCTCCTCGCCAGTCAATCGTTCTCGGGTTTTGCACAACCTACGAAGTATGGTGGAAGCATATAGTTTGGACGCAATCGGAAGTAGACTTATCCCCCGATAGTTCTTACAGGAACGACGTGAACCCTTTTTAAAGATAGGGACAACTATCGACTCGTTCCATGATGTTGGAACACTCTCTAGCTCCCTAACCTTTGTAAACGACGTAGTCACTCCCTTAACCAGCCCTAACAGGCCATGGAGGGCAGGGCAGTCTGATCGATGTTGCCGGAGCAGAAGGCCAGTTGAACTGCCCTTCAAAGAATTCTGCCCATCGTCTAACACGTCGATGGATGTTAGTGATCGGCATCCATTCATCTTCACAGATTGTTTCGCTCACATCCGACTTCTTGCTGTCAGTGGCTCGGATGAGTTGGAAGAGCTTCTGGCAGTTACCAGATTCAGCTGATATTTCCAACTCATTAAGACCACCAGGCTTCTCGGTCCTTACTCAAGCTTTGCCCAATTTTATCACGTAACAGTTGTCGTTTGTGGTCAAACCCACGGTCATCCGGAGTAGACCGACGAGTCTCGATGAGTTGTTAGGAGCCTGAAAAAACCCAGTGCTTATAAGCGGGACGTTTCGTGAAGCCGCAAGCGACTTTACTCGCCATTTTCATGGCGTCATGCAGTTGAAGCCAATGCTCATTTATACTTTTTGGTGAGATGGTAGATAACCTAGAACCTAGCTCGGTTTGATACTTAGTTGCAACAGATGCTGCAATCAATTTACTAACGTCAATCCATTTAGGACGATGAATTCGTTGGCCATTGAAGAGTAAGGCAAGATTGGCCCAAACAAGGCATGATCAGAGTTTAGATAGGTACTCTAAAAGGAGCGGCAGTCTTTCACACAACTGCGCCAGCAGTAGCTGATCGCGGTGTGACCAATCTGAGTCCAGGCTTGAGATGCAGAGAGAGGATGTCATTTGACACATCGGTGATGACCATGCCGGTAGTTAGTGCTAGCCAGAAACAGGTTGTGGTCTGTGCACAGTTGCAGTAGACGGTCCCCGTTATCTGATCTGCGACCAACAAGTCTTCATCGGCCACCCAAACGACTCTCTTCTGTGCCTAGACGCCCTACCTGTGCATTCGAGACTCCGGCTAGTACTACAATATCTGTCGAACGCACTTTCTGAAGAAGAACAGTTAATTGGTGATAAAATTCATCCCTGATTGCATCCGGGCTGCAATCTGTCGGAGCGAGACGGAGATGACGAGTAGACATCGTTTCTCACATCGATTTCTTCTTACTTTGATGAAATTTTCCAATCGATTAGTGCTACCCCAGCTCTATCGCTTAGTGCGACACCAACGCAAAAAAGACCAGACCGAAAAGCATTTCTCGGATACACAGCAGAGGTCGATATTAAGACTTTAAAAAGACACAGCCAGCCCTATCTGTTTTCCGATCTGCATTAATGTGCAAACGTTGAAAAAAGCCAGTTTGAATGGTGTACGTAGTTTCAAAAAGACTGGTTCAATATACGTATTCGGTGGGAGCATTCACTTTCGACCAGGCAGTGACTCAAGATCGTTTAGATAGAACAGAGTTACCACCCTGGGCGAGCTGTTGTATAAATTGAAAAAGGGGAGTACATGAAGTGGGAATAGAAGAAGATAAGTGACGTAGTATATAAAAAAAATTGATAATAATAGTTATGATGAAAATGAGTGTTATTAAGTGGATTCTAATTGTCTGAATTCTAATTAAAGCGAGCATAGTATTTCATGAAGTAATTGTCATCTCATTAGATTTGTGTGAGGGCTGTGATACTGCTCAGGTGACCAAACTGGAACAGGTGGTCTTCTTAAAGGGCCACACCCGGAGCCTTTGACCTAAAGATCTGATCCACAAGGCATTGGAGCAACATCAGGAGATGCAGTCCTATGGTAGCCGGTGACAAACGATTGATTCATAAGCCATTTGTTCCCTCAGGATATTGGAGCCCATGTTCACCATTGGTTTGGAATCAGGGTTTTCCAACTCCCCTAGGTGGACTTTCCGTGTCCACCAACCCTGTTAAAGCGCCGGACATTCGCTTTTCGTCCTCTCGATTTTGTAAACAACAGTAATGGGACGAGAAGGCAGTGAGTAGGACTTCCCTGACAAGGGCTATATATGTACGCATGACCATATGAGAGCATTTGGAGAGGGAGAGCGAACTCTCCCCACTCTCGACCGTATCAGGGTATTTAGGGACATGTTTCTCTTAAGAAAAAATTGTTAGAGTCTTCTTGATGGAAATGATTAAAATCAAAACTATCCTTATCTAAATATGATTAGATAAATTTTTAGTGTAAATTTATTCACATAAACTTTGATTTTTTTCCCTTGAAACACGACTTGGACAAGATTTTTCTTAAGGGAAACATTATAATCACTGAAATTATAATCCCTTAGCTTATTTTGAACATATGTTTTACATATAATTTAACAGCTACTTCTAGCTAATCAGTATTGAACAGGACAAAACGTGCGTCCTGGATTCCACTGCTAGCCACTATCCATTATGGTTCATAATGCTTATAACTTAAGATAATATCAAGGCATCTTGCATAGAATGCGCATGTGCCAATAAACAACTAATACCAAAATGAATGCACAAACTATTTGCCATGGGTTTAATAGAAGCCCTTACAAATGGAATTATATTTATGAATTTTTTTAGCTTATAAATTTAACTAATATTGTTTATTTAACATGTCGTTGAAAGTGTTGCCATTGTGATTACAAAAAAAGCGAATACATTTGATTCATCTAAACATTTTCTGATAATACAAACAAATTCATAAGGTTTCCATGATGGTCTAGCTTCAATTGATTCATGATGTCAATTATTAAAATTACTATAATATCCAAAAAAACCCTTTCTGATATTAATCAACATATGCTCACTAGTGACTGGTTTCAAGAGGTATTTCCTGAAGTTCTAGCGAGAAGCAGTAGTGACCAGTGGAGTTCAACCGGGTCTTTTAGTAATTCACTGAAGACAATGATGGATGTGTCGCTCAATTTCGTGGATTAATTGAAATTAGACCTTAACATCATTGGATCCCGGCTTAGTGGTTAAATATTTGCAGGCGAGATTGATAGGTCCTGAGTTCGAATCTCGCTAGGCGGGATCGTGTATGTTTGCCAATCATAAATATATCTCTGTTATATTATTTATTAGTTTAATAATGTTCATTACATAATCTATCAATTGTATATTAACAATTTCATAAACAATATCGTTTACATTCAAACTGTATATTTTCTATATGTTTTAGATTTTAAATGATAATTTATATACACTTCAAAGGATTCCAATGATCTCTCCTTCTGAAACAAATATTATCAGTACCAAATCTCCTACTTATAAGAATGATAATACTGTTATCAATAATTCCATCAACACTACTGCTACTATTACTACTACTATTACTACTACTACTACTACTACTACTACTACTACTACTACTACTAATAATAATAATAATAATAATAATAATAATAATAATAATGGTAATAGACCTATTATGATTGATGCATCCGATTATGTTGGAGTTAGTTTAAAAAGAAAACCTTTATTTGAATCGTTAAGAGCTGAACAATTTAATGCTCAATCCATTTTCATTAAAACATCATCAAACACATCAAATTCTACTACTACAAGATGAAATAAATATAAAACTTTCCTATTTTGTTTTTTTTACCCTTCTATTTTGTAAATTTATTCTTCTTCTTCTTCTTCTTCTTCAAACAAAACACAAAAACAAAATGAGACAAGTTTCCGAGAAAAATGATTCGTATATGTTGTATAGTTTGTTTGTTTATTTGTTTTAATTTGGAAGCCGTTGGGGATCGGTGGGCGAAAAAACAAAACAAAACAAGTTTACAAAAAGAATGATTCCTATATTGTATAGTTTAATTGTTTGATTGTTTCTTTGCAACCGGGAAGAAGAGTGTCGGTAAAACAAAACAAAAGATTAGAACAACATTTGATGCATTTTTTTAATTTTTGTTAAAAAAATTTATGTATACACATTGAAAATTTTTTTATATTTGTAAAGAGGTTTGTAGGGTGGGTTTATTTTTTTCTCTCATAAAATCATTTTTCGTTTACTAGTTTATATTTTCGGGTTTTTTTTTCTTTTTTTAAAAAAAAATTATTTAAATATTTTCTGGGGAAAAAAAAACTAATCTCAGATCAATATTCTAATAAACATTTTTGTATAGAATAATGGATGGTTGACAATAAGTGGTGGTGGTAGTGGTGGTGGTGAAATGTCAATTTATGGTATCTATGCTGAAGTCTTCTATATACATTTTTTATTATTTTGACATCAGTAATTTGATTATTCTATAATTCAATAAATTTCAATTTGAGAATTTTTCTTTTTTCTTTTATGATTGAATTATTTGTGATTATGATATAAAATAATGAGAAACATGCTCCCTTTCCCAGGATTATAAATTTCAAATATTGAACATTTATTTACTTAAACACATAAACAACAGTACAAAGAGGTACCGAATAAATATGTGTCACATATATCATTCGATTTGTGTAACAGCTAGCATACTGATTGCGTAATCAGACCGCAAAAGATAATTTCCTTGAAAGCGACTCATGAGAAGTGTACATACACAATCCTGTATACGCGACTGGAAAGGGCACAGGAAATAACTAATATTTAAATATCATGTGACACTCTCGTATGCAAATATGAACAAAATATCTTGGTGTTTGTTGGTGGTAGTTGGGTATAGTTATTGTCATATTATTGGTTGTATTGGTGTGTGTGTGTGATTATTTTTGGTTAGTCGATGATGATAATGTAATTGAGTGAATTGATGTGATGTAGATTTGGCATTTGTATGTGTTGATTGATTGTAATATGCAGGACGAGTTTCAGTAAAGATTTGTTATACATTTTGGTTATTTGTGGTAGTTGAGTGTTGTTGTAATTGTTGTGTTGTTATGACACATTGTTTGTGAATATGTAGTTATTGTGTGTGTGTGTGTGTGTTTGATTGGTAATGTGGTGTGGTGTGGTGTGGTGTGGTGTGGTATGTAGATTTGTTTAGCCTGTAGATCTAATTGTTGCGCCCTATACAATGATGATAGGGTGTGTGATCGTGGCTGATATTGATGTTGTGATGCAACGGTGTCATTTGTTGTGAAATGCCACCTACGAGAGACAAGGACATTGGTGTTTGTTGGTGGTAGATGGGTATAGTTATTGTCATATTATTGGTTGTATTGGTGTGTGTGTGTGATTATTTTTGGTTAGTCGATGATGATAATGTAATTGAGTGAATTGATGTGATGTAGATTTGGCATTTGTATGTGTTGATTGATTGTAATATGCAGGACGAGTTTCAGTAAAGATTTGTTATACATTTTGGTTATTTGTGGTAGTTGAGTGTTGTTGTAATTGTTGTGTTGTTATGACACATTGTTTGTGAATATGTAGTTATTGTGTGTGTGTGTGTTTGATTGGTAATGTGGTGTGGTGTGGTGTGGTGTGGTATGTAGATTTGTTTAGCCTGTAGATCTAATTGTTGCGCCCTATACAATGATGATAGGGTGTGTGATCGTCGCTGATATTGATGTTGTGATGCAACGGTGTCATTTGTTGTGAAATGCCACCTACGAGAGACAAGGACATTGGTGTTTGTTGGTGGTAGATGGGTATAGTTATTGTCATATTATTGGTTGTATTGGTGTGTGTGTGTGTGATTATTTTTGGTTAGTCGATGATGATAATGTAATTGAGTGAATTGATGTGATGTAGATTTGGCATTTGTATGTGTTGATTGATTGTAATATGCAGGACGAGTTTCAGTAAAGATTTGTTATACATTTTGGTTATTTGTGGTAGTTGAGTGTTGTTGTAATTGTTGTGTTGTTATGAAACATTGTTTGTGAATATGTAGTTATTGTGTGTGTGTGTGTTTGATTGGTAATGTGGTGTGGTGTGGTGTGGTGTGGTATGTAGATTTGTTTAGCCTGTAGATCTAATTGTTGCGCCCTATACAATGATGATAGGGTGTGTGATCGTGGCTGATATTGATGTTGTGATGCAACGGTGTCATTTGTTGTGAAATGCCACCTACGAGAGACAAGGACATTGGTGTTTGTTGGTGGTAGATGGGTATAGTTATTGTCATATTATTGGTTGTATGGTTGTATTGGTGTGTGTGTGTGTGTGTGTGATTATTTTTGGTTAGTCGATGATGATAATGTAATTGAGTGAATTGATGTGATGTAGATTTGGCATTTGTATGTGTTGATTGATTGTAATATGCAGGACGAGTTTCAGTAAAGATTTGTTATACATTTTGGTTATTTGTGGTAGTTGAGTGTTGTTGTAATTGTTGTGTTGTTATGACACATTGTTTGTGAATATGTAGTTATTGTGTGTGTGTGTGTGTTTGATTGGTAATGTGGTGTGGTATGTAGATTTGTTTTGCCTGTAGATGTAATTGTTGCGACCTATACAATGATGATAGGGTGTGTGATCGTGGCTGATATTGATGTTGTGATGCAACGGTGTCATTTGTTGTGAAATGCCACCTACGAGAGACAAGGACATTGGTGTTTGTTGGTGGTAGATGGGTATAGTTATTGTCATATTATTGGTTGTATTGGTGTGTGTGTGTGATTATTTTTGGTTAGTCGATGATGATAATGTAATTGAGTGAATTGATGTGATGTAGATTTGGCATTTGTATGTGTTGATTGATTGTAATATGCAGGACGAGTTTCAGTAAAGATTTGTTATACATTTTGGTTATTTGTGGTAGTTGAGTGTTGTTGTAATTGTTGTGTTGTTATGAAACATTGTTTGTGAATATGTAGTTATTGTGTGTGTGTGTGTGTTTGATTGGTAATGTGGTGTGGTGTGGTGTGGTGTGGTATGTAGATTTGTTTAGCCTGTAGATCTAATTGTTGCGCCCTATACAATGATGATAGGGTGTGTGATCGTGGCTGATATTGATGTTGTGATGCAACGGTGTCATTTGTTGTGAAATGCCACCTACGAGAGACAAGGACATTGGTGTTTGTTGGTGGTAGATGGGTATAGTTATTGTCATATTATTGGTTGTATTGGTGTGTGTGTGTGATTATTTTTGGTTAGTCGATGATGATAATGTAATTGAGTGAATTGATGTGATGTAGATTTGGCATTTGTATGTGTTGATTGATTGTAATATGCAGGACGAGTTTCAGTAAAGATTTGTTATACATTTTGGTTATTTGTGGTAGTTGAGTGTTGTTGTAATTGTTGTGTTGTTATGAAACATTGTTTGTGAATATGTAGTTATTGTGTGTGTGTGTGTTTGATTGGTAATGTGGTGTGGTGTGGTATGTAGATTTGTTTAGCCTGTAGATCTAATTGTTGCGCCCTATACAATGATGATAGGGTGTGTGATCGTGGCTGATATTGATGTTGTGATGCAACGGTGTCATTTGTTGTGAAATGCCACCTACGAGAGACAAGGACATTGGTGTTTGTTGGTGGTAGATGGGTATAGTTATTGTCATATTATTGGTTGTATGGTTGTATTGGTGTGTGTGTGTGTGTGTGATTATTTTTGGTTAGTCGATGATGATAATGTAATTGAGTGAATTGATGTGATGTAGATTTGGCATTTGTATGTGTTGATTGATTGTAATATGCAGGACGAGTTTCAGTAAAGATTTGTTATACATTTTGGTTATTTGTGGTAGTTGAGTGTTGTTGTAATTGTTGTGTTGTTATGACACATTGTTTGTGAATATGTAGTTATTGTGTGTGTGTGTGTTTGATTGGTAATGTGGTGTGGTGTGGTATGTAGATTTGTTTAGCCTGTAGATCTAATTGTTGCGCCCTATACAATGATGATAGGGTGTGTGATCGTGGCTGATATTGATGTTGTGATGCAACGGTGTCATTTGTTGTGAAATGCCACCTACGAGAGACAAGGACATTGGTGTTTGTTGGTGGTAGATGGGTATAGTTATTGTCATATTATTGGTTGTATTGGTGTGTGTGTGTGTGATTATTTTTGGTTAGTCGATGATGATAATGTAATTGAGTGAATTGATGTGATGTAGATTTGGCATTTGTATGTGTTGATTGATTGTAATATGCAGGACGAGTTTCAGTAAAGATTTGTTATACATTTTGGTTATTTGTGGTAGTTGAGTGTTGTTGTAATTGTTGTGTTGTTATGAAACATTGTTTGTGAATATGTAGTTATTGTGTGTGTGTGTGTGTTTGATTGGTAATGTGGTGTGGTGTGGTGTGGTGTGGTATGTAGATTTGTTTAGCCTGTAGATCTAATTGTTGCGCCCTATACAATGATGATAGGGTGTGTGATCGTGGCTGATATTGATGTTGTGATGCAACGGTGTCATTTGTTGTGAAATGCCACCTACGAGAGACAAGGACATTGGTGTTTGTTGGTGGTAGATGGGTATAGTTATTGTCATATTATTGGTTGTATGGTTGTATTGGTGTGTGTGTGTGTGTGTGATTATTTTTGGTTAGTCGATGATGATAATGTAATTGAGTGAATTGATGTGATGTAGATTTGGCATTTGTATGTGTTGATTGATTGTAATATGCAGGACGAGTTTCAGTAAAGATTTGTTATACATTTTGGTTATTTGTGGTAGTTGAGTGTTGTTGTAATTGTTGTGTTGTTATGACACATTGTTTGTGAATATGTAGTTATTGTGTGTGTGTGTGTGTTTGATTGGTAATGTGGTGTGGTGTGGTGTGGTATGTAGATTTGTTTAGCCTGTAGATCTAATTGTTGCGCCCTATACAATGATGATAGGGTGTGTGATCGTGGCTGATATTGATGTTGTGATGCAACGGTGTCATTTGTTGTGAAATGCCACCTACGAGAGACAAGGACATTGGTGTTTGTTGGTGGTAGATGGGTATAGTTATTGTCATATTATTGGTTGTATGGTTGTATTGGTGTGTGTGTGTGTGATTATTTTTGGTTAGTCGATGATGATAATGTAATTGAGTGAATTGATGTGATGTAGATTTGGCATTTGTATGTGTTGATTGATTGTAATATGCAGGACGAGTTTCAGTAAAGATTTGTTATACATTTTGGTTATTTGTGGTAGTTGAGTGTTGTTGTAATTGTTGTGTTGTTATGAAACATTGTTTGTGAATATGTAGTTATTGTGTGTGTGTGTGTGTTTGATTGGTAATGTGGTGTGGTGTGGTGTGGTGTGGTATGTAGATTTGTTTAGCCTGTAGATCTAATTGTTGCGCCCTATACAATGATGATAGGGTGTGTGATCGTGGCTGATATTGATGTTGTGATGCAACGGTGTCATTTGTTGTGAAATGCCACCTACGAGAGACAAGGACATTGGTGTTTGTTGGTGGTAGATGGGTATAGTTATTGTCATATTATTGGTTGTATGGTTGTATTGGTGTGTGTGTGTGTGTGATTATTTTTGGTTAGTCGATGATGATAATGTAATTGAGTGAATTGATGTGATGTAGATTTGGCATTTGTATGTGTTGATTGATTGTAATATGCAGGACGAGTTTCAGTAAAGATTTGTTATACATTTTGGTTATTTGTGGTAGTTGAGTGTTGTTGTAATTGTTGTGTTGTTATGAAACATTGTTTGTGAATATGTAGTTATTGTGTGTGTGTGTGTTTGATTGGTAATGTGGTGTGGTGTGGTGTGGTGTGGTATGTAGATTTGTTTAGCCTGTAGATCTAATTGTTGCGCCCTATATAATGATGATAGGGTGTGTGATCGTGGCTGATATTGATGTT